ACATTATCAGGAGATTAACCCGAGATCATTTAGATTCCCCCTTGTCTCCTCTGGAAAGGCTGCTTGTTTAGCAAAAGACAGATATTTAGAATCATCTGAGATCTCTCGGGGATCTCTCGCTGCAGTGCGAAGAGGTGCCCCATGCACGGTTCTGCCCGGAGTACCAGGAAGAAATTTCCATTTCAGTATGGCATGGGAAGCTATTAGTGCATCGCTGCTGTCACGTCATCTCCACAGCTTCTTTAATGGATGATTTACCATTGGAAATTGAGTTGTTTTCAAAAGTGTTCTAAGTTTTAAAAGAAAGCCTTGACAACCATGTTTCTAGCACCACAATCATGAAAGTTCTGGTCTGTCCTCTGAGGAGGAGACAAAAAAGGCAGGAAAAAAAGGCCCTCGCCTCCGGTTTGGCTCAGAGAATAGAGTGTTGGCCTGCAGACTAAAGGGTCCTAGGTTCGATTCTGGTCAAGGGCACATGCCAGGGTTGTGGGTTTGATCCTCAGTAAGGGGGTATAGGAGGCAGCTGATCAATGATTCTCATCTTTGATGTTTCTATCTCTCTCTTTCCCTCATTTCATCTCTGAAATTAATAAAAGTATATATTTTTTAAATAGCAGATGAAAAACTATGGCCAAATATTGTTGGCTGCAAGAAAGAATAGTGGGTTAGGCAGAAACTCTTAGGTTAATTTCTGGTTCTCTATCACTCTGAAACAGAGGGCTTTGAAAAAAGCATTGAATCTGTGGACTTTCAGAATGGGTTGAATTAAATACTGATTATGCTTTCTCTCCACTCAAATATTTTAAGAATCAAATGTAGAACAAAACCACCTGAACTCAAACCCTGAACCACAAGTTAGGAGATTTGGGTTCTAGTGCTGCTCTTTTAACCTATCGTGTGGCCTTGGACAAGTTACATGGAAAATTAAAGATAGACAATCTACTTTTTCACTCGCCATAGAGCACTCACCAAGTACAAGGAAGTCAGCATTATCATACTAGTTCTTCATAAGAACTTTATGAATATGTGTCATGATTATGTTCATTTTGAAGAGAAGGAAACTGAGTCTCAGAAAGGTTACACAAGATCACCCATTCAGCAAGTAGTTGGCTTAAATTTGAATCCATGATGCCCATAATGTGCCCTTGAGTCTTCATGAAATACATCATTGCCAGTGTGACCTCAGAAGATTGATTATATCCAACCATCCATCCATCCATCCATCCATTTATCCAGCCATTCATCCAGCCATGCATACATAGTCTCTGAAAAGCTACTACAAAGCACAAACACTTTCTATTTATATCTAAGAAGAATCCTCAATTTATTTAGAGCAGCAGCTCTTAAATGCAGTGCAAGGAATCCCAAAGATCCATGGACAGGAAGCAGACAGTCAATAAATCTAGGAAATTGAAGGCAAATATTTTTGTGGGCATCTATGTGCCACATTTCTAGAACAAAGGTCCATGGTTTTCATCATATCCCCAAAGATATCTCTGATTCTCAAGAATGTAAGAACCACTGGTCCAGAGAAATGGAATTGGAAACACTACTTGAAATATCTCATTTGTTCCTTATAGCCACACTATGTGGTGGGCACTACTTTCTCCCATTTTATGGATGAGAAAGCTGAGCCACACACACCAAAAGCAACCTTCCCAAATCCACACAATTTGTTTGATGGGTATCACTGCTTCCATTTCAGGTGCTTAATTTAAGGCAAATAATGTACAGTACGCTCCTGGTGAATGTTAATAGACCAGGAATAAGAGCATGTCCAACACTCACCCAACTAGACTTGTGTTCTGTGGCTGGGTTTTCTACCTCTCCTGCTTTGGGGAACCAGCCTTAGAAGAAAACTTATGCTAAGAGGAAGCTGGCATTAAAATAGGCTCAGTGGTAGAGTGGTCAGATAAAATACGAGATGCCCAGTTCAATTTGAATTTCAGATAAACAATGTATAATATTTTAGCAAAAGTATTCCCTAATAATGCATGGGATATAACTTTATACTGAAAAAGTATTAATTGTCTATCAGAATTCAAATTTATCTGGGTATCATGTATTTTATGGGCTTAGTGTGGCACAATGGAGAGAACCAGTACCTGACAACTATACAGCATCTGAAGCCTGCACTACCTTTTGACTTTGAGTTATGTAGGGTCATTGATTCCTGCATTGCTTAAACAATCTAGAATTTCTATCACTTGCACACCAATGCATCCTACCTCATGCAGCAAATCAGTGGTTCTAACCCCAGCAGGAAGGATGTATAGTGCAAGCTCACAGCACCATACTAAATCCCAGAGGAACAGAAACTCTATACCATATTAGAAGTTACAAAACCAGTGCTTAGGACATTGAACTTATGTGGCTTTTTTCTTTTTCTTTTTCTTTTTCTTTTTTTAGCTATAAGAAATAGCTTGACAGACTTACTGGAATTCATCTGTATTATATAGTCACAGGATATGTATTCATTTACACTGTAAAACTTCTTCTTATATATAACAAACTCTAAAGTCATGCCAGAGATGACTGCTCATAACCACCCCAAATAACAAAAGCACCTAGCAATTCCAGATGAAGGATCCCAATTTTTAGACATTAATTCTAAATTTTTATGTAATTTTGTGTAGAAAGAAAAATCAACTGGCTCCATAGAAAAGCTTGACTTTAGGTAAAATCTAAAACATTGTAAAGTAATCAAATAAAATAGCAAGGAGGTTATGGTAGTGAGTAGAATTGATTGAGTGGATAGCTAACCACAGGACTGAATTGCTATTTAAGGGTAAATGGGGGCACCTGTACACATGTGTGCAAGTGTGTGCAAGTGTGTGTGTGTGTGTGTGTGTGTGCGTGTGTGTGTGTGTGTCTTGGCCATATTATTCACGCAGCATAAAAAATTACAAGATAATGAACCCAAGACGTTTATATGCAATACCAAGTATACATGATCAATGAACAAAAACAGGATGTTTAGTTAGCTGTGACAGTTATGAAAAGACCAAAGAAATCTGTTCTTATTTACATCCACAAGTTTCAAAGCCCTGCTCTGGTATAGAGAATTCCCATAACATGGAACACATAGCATTAACTTCACATCATCCAGACTCCCCTCAAGCCCATAAAAGGCGATAATTCAGGGTATGTCAGCATAAAGCAATTGTGAAGTTAAGAAAAGTTCTAACAAAGATATCTTTGGAAAAAGTAATATATGTATATATATGTAATTGTATTCAAAGAAATTTGATGGACAATATTTCTGGACATAATCTTATGAAAATGTTAACTGTCCCCAAGTTAATCTATAAATTTAACAAGCCCTGATACCAATAGGTATGTATTTGGAGAGGTGGGCAGAGGAATCAGAGGAGCACATGATAAAATGTTTGTTATCTTCCTGAAGAAGAAGAGCAAAGGGAAGGAGATGAGCCCGAACAGATATTAAAAGTATTGTACTATAAAGTAAAACCAGAATAATGTGGTAAGACCACAAGACTATATACTGTAGAAGCTCAAAGGGACAGAACAGAAAGTCCAGAAACAGATCCATGTATTTATACAAGGATTTATTCATTGGTAAAAGTGGGCATCTAAAAGCCACAGGGAAAAATTGAATTTGTCAGTAAACAATGTTGGCTACCATTTAGGAGAAAAGAACATAAATGGCTTGTGAATTTGCTGGTAAGATGGCTTTTAAAAGTTTGAAGTGCTAGGTGTCCACTAATAGATGAATGGATAAAGATGTGATGCATATGCACAATGGAATATCACTCAGGAATATGAAAAAATTAAAATCTTACCACTTGCAACAACATTGATGGACATAGAGGGTATTATGCTAAGTGAAATAACTCAGAATGAGAAAGAAAAATACCCTAAAACAAAACAAAATAAAACAAATGAACAAACAAAACAAACCCATAGCAACAGAACAAACTGATGATTGTCAGTGGGGAGGAGAATGGGGAGATGAGTGAAAAGGTGAAGGGGAATAAGAGGTACAAACTTCTAGTGATAAAATTCATAAATCATGGGAAGGTAATATACAGCACAGGGAATCTATATAATTAAAACCCAGTGGTCATAACGCCATAACAACCAAAGAACCATCACCAGGAGGTGCACCAATGGGTCCCTCAGTGCACCGGGTCTGGGTCTCGCGAGATTTTACACACTACCTCTAATGTAGTCAATAATATCACAATCCCTAGCCAGTTTTGCTCACGGGATAGAGTGTCAATGGCCTGAAGGGTCCTGGGTTCGATTCTGGTCAAGGACACATAACTCAGTTGCAGGCTCAGTCCCTGGCCCTGGTTGGGGTGCTTGTGGGAAAAAACCAATTGATGTGTCTCCCTCACACCGATGTTCCTCTCTCTCTGTCTCTCTCCCTCCCTTCTACTCTCTAAATTCAATGGAAAAATATTCTTGGGTAAGGATTAACAACAACAACAACAATAATAATGATATCATAATAACTTTTATGGTGACAGATGGGTCCTAGATTTATTGTGGTGATCGCATTGTAAGGTATACAATGTTGAATCACTATGTTGTACACTTGAAGCTAATATAATATTGTATGCTAACTATACTAAAGTATAAATAAAATAAAATACAAAATTGAAACAAAAGTCTGAAGTGACAGAAAATAAATAGTAAAACATTACCACCCATGGAATAGTAAGCTAATGTGCATAGGACCTTCAACTTACCCTTTCTGTCCAACAAGAAAGGGAATGTGGTCAATTCCTTGGAAGAAGGAATGGGGTGCACCCTGCCACCATATTGGACATCACTCGGTTCCCTTCACCCTTCACCCCACCTCAGTCCCTCTCTGCAGTAGAATTGCCCTACTACCCACTCCTACTCATAGGACAAAAGGATCCTGGAAAATAAAAGATTTCTCTGCACATCGTGAGATTCCCTGATCACCTTAACTGTTGAAGGAGCCAATGCATACAATTTGAGAGTTATCTGAGATCAGCAGTAAGTCTCACCTGTTTCCTCTTTTCAGGTGGAAGTGACGGATCTCCATCCTACAAAGAAACAAATACTGCATCTTAGTGGGTTTTTTTTTAATTAAATGTGCTTAGATTCAAGGAACTGAACCAAACTATGAACTAGATTCAAACCCTCCCAAGTTCCACCCCCTTCAACCAGTAATGTGCTGAACCAAGTTCAGATATGCTTTCAAAAAATTACCTACAAATTCAACCATTCTTATTTTGGAAAAACCTCTGAGGGATCAGTTCCATTTAAGACCAAACCTATATATTTTCCAAAACTGTGCAAATCAACCCCCACCCCTCCACATACAAAACTGAATTTATCAAAATTATTTTTGAGTAGAGCCAATCTTATGTAATATTTCATTTGGTTTGAGTTGAGTTCCTCTTTACATTGTTAGATCCAAAGGTACAGCAATGGATACACATATACACACTTGAGCTTTCTCTATGAACAGAAAAATAGGGGGGGGGGGGATAAAAAAGATATACTCAAAATAAAAGAAAATTAACTGAGAACTTCCAGTCCTATCAGACTTTTTGTCTTAAAAGAACTCAATTTCTTTCCCTTGTAGGTCATCCGGGACTACAAATATCTCAGATGAATGAGTACATTTTTATCTGATGCTGTCTACATATAGGTCAACAGTACTTTAACCCGAGGAATCTTTCTACTCTATTTCTGTGCCAGGACAGTTCAATGAGCCCAGCACAAATGGTTAAATAATAGCAATAGTGTCAACACTTTAAAAGGAGGCTGCATACATGAGTAAAAAAGCAGCAGGAATGCTCTCGATATCCTCCATTTCCATATAATTTATACCCTTAAAAATCTTGCCATATAAGCCCTAAAGAAAACCTAAATGCTCATGAGAGAAAGGTTTTAAAAAATGAAAGTATTACTATGCAACTTTGTTTAAAAATGAACTCTAGTTGTATGTATGGCCTAGAGAGCTGTCCAAAATAAGGTGTGAATGGAAAGAGCAAGTTTTAGAACAACATTTACACCGTGCTGTCTGACAGAACTCTGCAGAGATGGAAACACCCTTCATGGAACCGTCCAGCATAGTGGCCACCATGCAAGTGGCCAGTAGCAATGCAATGCAATAGAGTCACCACCGGCCACCTATGCCAATTGAGTCCCTGAAATGTGATGAGACTGAAGAACTGAGTTTTCAATTCTATTTCATTCTAATTCATTTAAAATTGAATTTAAATAACCACATGTGGTTTCTGTATTAGACAGATCCTCTTAAAAATACTCCATAGGGCCAAAACCGATTTGGCTCAGTGGATAGAGCGTCAGCCTGAGGACTGAAGGGTCCCGGGTTCGATTCCAGTCAAGGGCACATACCTTGGTTGCGGACACCTACCAAGTAGCAGGTGTGCAAGAGGCAGCTGATTGATGATTCTCTCTCATCGATGTCTCTAACTCTCTATCCCTCTCTCTTCCTCTCTGTAAAAAAAAAAAAAAAAATCAATAAAATATATATTTTTTAAATACTCCATAGGAACAAATGAGTAAATAAACCGACATGAACACATATGTGTACATGTGTGCTTCATAGGTGCCCAGGTAAGCTGTCTGGAGGGACTGGGTTGTGGGACTGTTTGAATTCAACCCTTTTTTGAGGAAAGGGCATGTAAAAAATGCCCCCTTTCTGTCGTAACCAGGGAACGGGAATGCCATGGTGACGCCACACGTACAATCAGCTCTCGATATTTCTTCTTCAGGGACTGATGGCGCTCTCGGAGCTGGTTGGCCATGAGCTTGTACTGGTCCCTTTCCTGCTGGCATGTGTCCAGCTCCTTGGAGAGGATCAGCAGAGCCTCCTTTTTGCTCTCCAGCTTCCGTTTGCACACCAGGTACTGCAAGAGAAGTGCAAGCAACTGGTCAGCACCTCATCAGGACTCCATTTACCATGCCCTGCTGGCTTGTTTTGTTCTTTGTTTTGTTTTGTTTTGTTTTGTTCTGTTGCTTGTTTGTTTTTAGAGAACATATACCCAGACATTTGTCAGTAACTGACATAGGCACCTAAAGGCTAAGACAGTACCTAACCTATCCCTCAGGAGAGAACCTTGGATGCTCATGAACTTTGGCAAACTGGGTCAGATAAAATCATTTCATTACAGACAAGTGAAACAATAGAATACTTTTTTAAAAATTACATAGCTAAATAGATGATAGCTGGACCCCAATAATTTTGTTTAAAGGGATTTCTATATCCAGATAAGATTATGTAAAATTTTGTTAAAATTTTACAAAATGATATACAAAGAAAAACACTTAATAAGACATTTGCATATTACAAACGATGGTCTCTTGGCAGCAAAATTATTTGCATGTTTTAAATTTTTTATTTTTTTTTAAAATATTTTTTTTCTAGATTTCAGAAAGAAAGGGAGAGGGAAAGATAGGAACATCAATTATGAGAGAGAATCATTGATAGACTGCCTCCCGCACACCCCCTACTGGGGACTGAACCTACAACCCTTGTATGTGCCCTGACCAGGATTGAATCATGACCTCCTGGTTCATAGGTGGATGCTCAACCACTGAGCCATACCAGTCAGACTAAAATTTTTATTCTTTAAGCTTTTCTATGCTTTTTAAAAATTTTAGACTAGGGGCGGAGCTTGAAGATGGTGACCAAACAGACAGACTTGTTCTGACTCCAGTCCCAGAACAGAAAAAAGCAGCGTCTGAGTCGCTCAGGGAAAGTTGATTGGCAGCTGAGGGACAGCGGAAATCTCAAGGAAGGTAAGGAAAGGTCGGCTGGACAGGATTCCCTGACCAACCGGCCAGCACTGCGGCTGCCGCGGCGGCTCTCCCGGAGCTCCGGGCTTGGAGGGAAGGCTGTGCCATCTTACCAGGAAAGGAGGAGCTTCTCTGTGGCCTGGAAAAACCACAGTGGAGGAGACCTTTGAGTAGCTGAGATGGCCCAATAGGAGCAAACACTTGGTTTCAAGGGAGTTCTTCAGTCACCCACGGAAAGATCAGAGTTTGCGGGGAAAACTTGAGGGATCTGGGTCCCGTGGCACAGGCAGTGACAGTAGCCACTGAGCTCCTGCAAGGCCCCGCCCCCCACTGTAGCTGGGAGCGCAGTGCTGCCACCTGCGCTGAGCTGCGCTCAAAGAAGGCTGCAGAGAGAATTCTGCCCGGGACACCCAGTGCTGGGTTTGGCATAATCTGGGACTTTTTAAAAAAATGCCAGGGGACACGGGACAAAGTGTTAAGAATTGCGGCTGTCCCGACAAGGGCGGAACATCTGGACACCTTGGCGCCTGATCCCCTTCACCCCCTTGCTTCTGAAAACTAGGGAAGGACTGCTCAGTTAGGCTTATCCAGGGAAATTGCAGGAGGAAACTGCCTTCCTGGAAACAAGGGATCGGAGCTTTAGAGATAGTCTGGGAGCCAGTTGGCACTCTGCCAGCTAGAGCCATAGAGAAAGAAGGCCAGAGCAACCAAAAGACTGGGAGGTCAAACCGGAAACACTGACACCTAAAAGCTGAATTACAAACTGATTTTTTTTTTTTTTTTCCGTTTTTTCTTTTGCTTTTTTTTTTATTAATCAAAAATAAATGGACACAAATAACTAAGATATAGCCTACTTAAAATTAAGCATTACCTTACAAAACTGAGGTGCAGTGGAATGCTGGGAACTGAAAGACTGTCTGCTCCGAGAATCAGGCAAGCCAAATACAATGACAGAGGAAGTGAATGACCACTACTGGACATTTTTATGCTAATTTTACCATTTTGTATTTTATTTTCATTTTTTACATCTTTTACTTAAGAAACGAATTTTTTTCCCTTACTTGATTTTACCTTTTCAATTATTACATTTTTCAATCTCTATCATCACTATTACTACTGCTATTTTGCAATTTTTATTTCTTTTTTTTGTTGTTGTTGTTTCTTTTTATTTTTCCCTCTCCAGTACCATCTTATTTTTTCTTTATTTTACATTGGGAGTAACCTTCATTCTATTTTAATCTCTACTATATCATCATTCAACCCTATCTCAACTTGACCTTTACACCATCACTCTCGTACTAAACTTTACCCTTTTAGTCTCCGGTTTATCCTATCCCTTTCCTGCTTTAGTTTTTCCTCTATTCTTTCTGTATACCCCCTGCTAAAGCTCTCACTATACTTATAGACCTAAGTTCCAACCCCTGACCCAAGTGTATAAATACCACTCTCTGCACTATAGTAACTAGTTAAAAACAAACAAACAAACAAACAAAAAAACAAAACAAAACAAAAAACAGTTCTCCTCTCTATCCATTTCTCATTGTTTGTGTGAAGGTTGATTATTGTGAATTTTTATGCTTTTTAGTGAAATTGTTATGCTTATTCCTGTGTTGTTATTGTTGCTTTGTATTTTTTAAAAAATCCTCTGTTTTTGTTTGTTTCTTGTACTTCTGTATATCATAGCCTTACTTAATAATAGTGGATATTGTAGTTTGTATTGATCTCCAAGTATTGTTGCTGGCATTGGCTGGGTTCAGTGGTTGTTCTATGGCAATTTTCTCCACAGATATATAATTTGTCTCCCATTTCTCTTTTAGTTTCCTTCTTCTCTCTCTCTCTCTCTCTCTCTCTCTCTCTCTCTCTCTCTCTCTTTCTCTCTCTCTCTCTCCTTTCTTTTTTTTCTGTTTTCCAACTTCATTTTGTCATTACCTTTTTCCTTCTTTTTCTATCTCTTTATCCCTCTTTTTTTATTTTATTTACTTATTTATTATTATTTTTTAAATTTTTATTTATTTTATTTTTACCTGTCTTCCTTCTCTCCTATCCCCCAATTTGCCTTTCTCTAGTGGTCACCTTTGTCGGAGGCTATTAATATTGTAAATACATTCCTGTTAAGTGCCTCTTGTATTGTACCTGGTAGTGTTGTAGTTTGTACCTTTAAATCAACACAGGAGAAGAAACACCACATAACCAGACATCCTGAAAAGAAAGGCCATGGGGAGACAAAGAAATGGCCCGCACATGAAAGAAAAGCAGGCATCACCAGAAAAGGAATTAAACGAGTCAGAGGCAAGCAGCCTACCAGAGCAAGAATTCAGAATAATGATCATAGGATGGCTAAAAAGAACGAAAGAGAAATTTGACAACAACCAAGAAGAAATGAGGAAGAACCATGAGGAATTGAAGAAGAGCCATGAGGAACTGAAGAAGAACCAAGAGGAATTGAAGAAGAACCAAGAGGAATTGAAGAAGAACCAAGAGGAATTGAAGAAGAACCAAGAAGAAATGAAAAGTGACATCACTACCATGAAGAACTCAATAGAAAGCATCAAGACTAGACTAGATGAAGCAGAGGACCACATCAGTGAGCTAGAAGATAAGATGGAAAAAAATACCCAATTAGAGCAACTTCTAGAAAAAAAGATTAAAAAGCAGGAGGAGAGCCTACAGGAGCTTTGGGACAATACAAAACAAAATAATATTCGAATAATAGAAAGGAAACTGAGGTAGACATGGAAAAAGTATTTCAAGAAATAATGACAAAAAACTTTCCTGAGTTAGAGAAGAAAAAAACCACACAAATCCAAGATGCTCACAGAGTCCCAAGCAAAATAAATCCCAGAAGACAGACGCTAAGACACATTATAATTAAATTGGCAAACAACGACGACAAAGTAAGAATCTTAAAAGAAGCCAGAGAGAGACAGAAAGTGACATACAAAGGAACCCCCATCAGACTAGCAACTGATTTCTCAACAGAAACATATCAGGCCAGAAGGGAAAGGGATGAAATATGCAAATTCATGCAAAGGAAGGGTCTGAATCCAAGAATACTGTACCCAGCAAGGCTATCAATCAAAATTGAAGGCTTCACAGACAAAAAAAGACTGAAGGAATTTATATCCACCAAACCAGCAATGCAAGAAATGCCAAAGGGTCTACTGTAAAAATAAAGAAATAGGAAGTGAAGAAGGAACACGGGTATAGAATAAAAATGGCATCAAATGAGTACCTATCAATAATAACCTTAAATGTAAATGGATTAAATGCTCCAATCAAAAGACATAGGGTGTCAGATTGGATAAGAAAACAAGACCCATACATCTGTTGTCTATAAGAAACCCACCTAAGAAAAAAAGATGCACACAGACTGAGGGTGAAGGGATGGAAAAAAGTTTTCCAGGCAAATGGAAATGAAAAAAAAAGCTGGGGTAGCAATACTTATATCTGACAAATTAGATCTCAGAGTGAAGGACATAACAAGAGATAATGAAGGCCACTTCATAATACTAAAGGGAACAATCCAACAAGAAATAACCCTGGTAAATATATATGCACCCAATACAGGAGCACCCAAATAAAAAAAAAAAAAAAAAACTGCTGGAGGACATTAAGGGAGAGATTAATAGCAATACAATCATAGTAGGAGATTTTAATACCCCACTGTCACCCTTCGACAAATCATCTAAACAAAAAATCAGCAAAGAAATATCAATCCTAAATGACTCACTAGACCAGATGGAATTAATTGACATCTTCAGAACATTCCACCCCAAAGCCACAGAATATACATTCTTCTCAAGTGCACATGGGACATTCTCAAAGATAGACCACATTTTGGGACATAGGCAAAGTCTCTTCAAATTCAAGAAGATAGAAACCATATCAAGCATCTTCTCAGATCATAATGCCATGAAATTGGAAATTAACTACAATAAAAATAATCCAAAGAAATCAAACACATGGAGACTAAACAGCATGCTATTAAACAAGGACTGGGTTACCAGAGAAATCAAGGAAGAAATTAAAAACATCCTGGTAACAAATGACAATGAAAACACAACAATCCAAAATTTATGGGACACAGCAAAAGCAGTTTTGAGAGGGAAGT